GCCAGGAAATTTAATTTTCATGAAAAAAAAATTTTTTTTTTTTTATAAAAAAATATTTGTTTCATGTGCTTGAGAATTGGACATATAACTTTGTTAAACGATTGTAAAATACAATCTTTGTGTAAAAACCATTCGATTTTAATGTGTCTCGAATTACCTTGGAATAAGATGCAGAGTGACTGTCATGAAACCAGACCAGGGAAAAAATATCTGCTGTTACTTTGTCGAATCTGTGTGCGTGATGGCCGAGTGGCTAGCGCTCTGGTGCTCGGTACCATAGGTCTCGGTTTCGAGTCCCGACGGTGCCATGGATGTTTGTGAGGGATTCGTAATCCACTTTAAACTCTAGCTCCTGATCTAATAGGATAGTAAAGCGTTGTGGGGGGTAGAGTTATTCAAGTCCGTAGCATATCCCCAAGCTACACGTGCTCCCTTTACATAACCTATAACATAAAGATTAACTTTCTCCGTATTGCCAGCTGCATTAGAACACCAACATGTCTTTTATATTCTTACTGATTTATGAAATCAGTGAGTTATTTGCAATACGGAGTTTCAAAAGGAAAATCCCAAAATTCAGACGCATAAATTAGGCAGTAGCATATACATATTACATATAAATGCATGCATATCTAAATATATCTTTACAATCAAGTCAAATTACTTTCTGCTAGTTTAATATTTGCTTAACTAACTACTTTCACACCGTTAAATGATCGATGTGGAAATAAATTTTAAATGTTTTTTTCTTTACTTTCATTTATCATTTATCATTTTCATTTATCACTTTTCTTTATTTTCATTTATCATTTTTCTTTACTTTCATTTATCATTGACTTAATTATATGAAATCTTCTTCTTCTTCATTGCCGCAACAGCTCCACGCTGAGCCAAGGCCGCCTGCCTTCTTCTTCATTGGCAGATTTCGAGACAGGGGATGCTTTTTAAGTGGTAGAGTTGTCAGCTCTACGCCCAAAGCTGTACAGTTATATTAGACCGGGGCCTGAATTACCGAGTGTCTGGCTCTCGGTGCCACAGATTTCGGTTCCAGTCCCTACGGTGCCATGGATACTTGCAGTGGTTCGGAATCCACTTTAAGCTGTAAGTCCTGGTCTTATGTGATTGTAGAGTGACACAGAGCCCAGTCAGACTTCTCACTCACAACTTTCCCAAACTGTATAGAGGCAACTCAGCTTAAGGTACAGTGATGTGGTGTAGTAGTAGTCATATTAGACCAGTACTTATGGTTTAAAGGGGACTCCGAACCTCTACAAACATCCATTGCACCGCCGGGACTCGAACACGAAAACCTTTTTCAGCAATCACCAGATCGCTAGTCATTCGGCCATCAAGTCCCATTAAAATGTTGAATGCCAGCGGCAAGCGGTGTTTTCAGGTACTGAAAAGTAGTACCAAGTACTGACCGCGCACGATGATGCTTGACTTCGGCGATCGAAAGGGAACCGGTATATTATAAACTCATGTTTGTGAAAATTACAACACCATGAAGGAATCGTTATAATTCAATGAAATTTAATACACAGTTGAGTGATAGTGGTACAAATAAAAGATTAAATGTTCAAAGCAAACAAACAATAACAAGAGATCGGAATCAGTATTTTGTGTAGCCCTCACGCGCCGCAATAAGTGCTGCTACACGACGTGGCATGGAGTCAAACAAATTTTGAATGTCTGCCTGAGGAAAAGCATTCCATATCGTTTGTATGCGCATCCAAAGTTCGTCTGCAGAACCAACAGGACGAGGATCACGAGCGAGACGCCGACCAACGAAATCCCACACATGTTCAATAGGCGACATGGCGACCGGGGAATACGCAGGCCAAGGAAGAAGCTGTACCTGCCGCGTTGAAAGAAGGATTGAACAGTCCTAGCGATATGAGGGCGGGCATTGTCCTGTTGAAATACAGCGCCTGGCAAGCTTTGAAGGAAGGGAACAGCTTGGGGCTGTAGAACTTCACTGATGTACCGGTTGCTGTTCAGATTGCCCACAATTCTTTGCAATTGAGATCACCCATGATATGCTATGGCACCCCAGACCATAATTCCGGGTGTTCGTCCACTGTGGCGTTCGATAATGCACTCCGGAAGGTGGCGTTCACCGGCATAGCGTCTGACACGAATGCGGCCATCATGGTACCACAAATTAAAGCGGGATTCGTCAGAAAACACGACATGCTGCCAATCAGCACGCCAGTCTCTATGCTGAGCGGCCATTGTAGCCGCAGGCGGCGATGGTTTAGCGTGAGAGGGATCCTGTATAAAGGAGTCCTTGCGCGCAGTCCACGCTGCAGCAGACATCTACGAACTGATGAAGCACACAATAAAACACAATGAAACAAATGTTGAAACACCTGAAGCTATGAATGAAACACCTGTACAATGAAACACCTGTAGCTATTGACCACTGTGCTGCCAATTGTCTAGAGGAAGCTGTACGGTCCGTCAGCGCCATGCGGACCAGGTGTCTATCATCGCGAGCTGGCGTCACATTTCGGGGTCCACTCCCGGATTTTCGAGTTGTCCGACACTCCTCCGTCCACTGCTTCCAAAGACGCATCACTGTGCTGCTGTTACGCTGCACGCGAGCAGCTACTGCACGATAAGACAATCCAGCTTCACGAAGTCCGATGATTCTCCCCCGTTCAAACTCTGTAATTTGTTCAAATCACGCTCTTTTCATCGAAGAGGCATAAGTAACGATTGAGCTAACGTTTACCACTAGCAAATAACCACCGATAACCATACACGCCTCGCTACAGCCGTCTATTTATTCGGATCCATCCGCCGTTCAGAGAGCGCTGCTCAGCATACGCATGCGCTACGGATTTGAAATTCTACTCATTTGCATATCATGCGCTAATTTGCATTTCCTGAAAATTTCAGCTCACTCGCGTAAGTCCTTCATGGTGTTGCCCTTTTCACAAACATGAGTTTACATAATAGTTTTAAAATTTATTTTTTTCTAAATCTGGTCATATATTTATGCTTACCCTGTATAATAGTAATCATTAACAGTATGTATTATGTTATATTTCAGGTAGCTATGCCCGGGACGTGCCATCTTCTGTAAAGTGTCCGCCTTTGAAGTGTCCCTTCATGTGTTCCGTTCACAAGGTCCCTGGATTACACTGCGAAGGGTGCCTCTGTCTACCCCTGGGACGAGGTACAATTTTCTTTGATTCAAATATCAACATCAGAAGCGTAGCGAATAACCACTAGGTCAATCCAAGTCTCATATTGCATTATTTAATATGTGTACACTTGTTCGTGGTAACAGTAGAATACAATAACTTACATGATGAGTTGGACGCGTTTTCCAGACGAGGAAGATGCCCTTGCACGAATATGAAAGTTCCGATCATCTTTGCTGTGTTTCACATACTGATGCACCGGTAGTACTATGACTGGTGATATGAAGGCGGAATACATCTGATTTACAGGGCTAAGAAGCGCAATGGGCGAGCCGTACTTGTTCTCGCAACGTTATTCAATGAGGCGTACTTCCAGCCATACCCTCTGGGGGCGCCTGCATCAATGGTTATATGAAAGATCCTTATCAGAGATCAGTCACAAGTCGTTGACGAACGATACTCATTCGGGACAAAGACGAGACTGTTCTAGATCTATTGCAAGGAACAATCCATGTCGTGATATCCAGTTGCATCATCTAGAGCACTGCTAGCGAAAACGACAAGTATCAATAGTCCATCTTTGTTACTGTTAACCAGTATACTGTTGTTGATGTACATTAATTAATAAATCGCATACTCGCTTACAAAAAGTGTTCTTTCATTTCTAGTATGAAAGGAAATTCGCTTTGCTTTTTGATTCCAGGTCATCTAGATGTACCTTGCACAAACCTGCTGCTGAGACGCCTTGCAAATTTTTGTGCAATGTACTCTAATTCTTGACTTAAAGTTTTGTGATATTGGAAAACTATCCATAATTGACATGCGCACAAGATCTATGTATTTTGAAGAAGGACTACGTTTCATTCTATCGATTTCATATTGGGACCATAATTGTGACTTTATTTCATTCAACTTGAATGCCAAAACTCGCCTAACATGAAATTTTATATGATAAGGCTCAAATGTTTTGCACATACTCTGCAGTACTAATCATTTACATGTCCTTATATGACATGACTTACATATCGTACAAATTTCAAAACGTTAAGATGTTTTCTTTACGGTATTGCATTTTATGTTGCCAGCAATGTATGTCATTCAACTAAATTTCTGTACTAAGTTACTCTTAAAATATATTATAACTGAACAATGCGAATTCTTTAACTTTAGATATCTTTGCACGTGACCGCCCATGTGGATATCCTAAGTGTCCTTCACCCTTGTGCATCGTCCTCGAGTTTTCCGGAGTGCCCTGTCCAGCATGCTTTTGTCCACTCTCACCGCCAAGTACAGTTGTCCATTATTATATTTTTTTTTTTTTCATTTCAGTATCAATACAGGTATACTTTATCTTTAAAGGCAGGCCGTGTGAAGAATTTCTTTTAACCTTCTTAAAAATTGTAATAATAATATAAAAAATTATATATGCATAAATTTTGTTTTATTTATTTATTTTTTTTTTCTAATGCAGCTGGCAAACACAGACAGCTTGGTATTTGGATGCCTTAAGGCAAATGATGCACAAACGTACTCACTTTGCATTACCCAGGGGGCGCGTGTAACTTGAAGATAAGCCACGGACGCGGAGTAACAATGCCCCCGCAACGCTCTACGATCCTATCAGACCGGGAACTACTTTTTAAAGTGGATTCCGAACCACTACAAACAACCATGGCACCACCGGGACTCGAACCCGAAACCTGTGGTACCGAGCGCCAGAGCGCTAGCCACTCGGCCATTCAGGCCCTTAATTTTGTTTTATTAATTAATAAAAAATATGAATAGTGAATAAGTTAATTTTTTTTAATAAATTAATATATAAATTAAATTAATATATATATATAGCCAACGGCCATACCATGCTGAATATACCGGTTCCCGTTAGAAAACCTCACCGAAGTCAAGCATCATTGGGCGCGGTCAGTACTTGGGTGGGTGACCACCTGGGATCACCGCGTGCCGTTGGCATTCACAAATTTAGGGCCTGAATGGCCGAGTGTCTAGTGCTCGGTGCCACAGGTTTCGGGTTCGAATCCCGGCGGTGCCATGGATGTTTGCAGTGGTTCGGAATCCACTTTAAGCGTAGGTCCCGGTCTCTTATGACTGTAAGAGCGTTACGGAGCAGAAGTCAGACTTCTACCTATGGGTGCTCCATCAGAACAGAAGCTGCACCCCTCTCCCCTCCTTCCGTGAGGGACACGACAGCAACAACAATATATATATATATTACTCTTTATGAAGAATTTCTTTTCCTCTTCTTAAAAATTATAATAGTATAAAAAAATTATATATGCATAAATTTTATTTTATTAATTAATAAAAAATATAAATAATTAATAAGTTAATTTTTTTTAAATAAATTAATAATATATATATATATGTATATATATACACTATATATTACTCTTTGTGAAGAATTTCTTTTCACCTTCTTAAAAATTATAATAATAACATAAAAAATTATATATGGATAAATTTTGTTTTATTAATTAATAAAAAATATGAATAGTGAATAAGTTAATTTTTTTTAATAAATTAATATATATATATTACTCTTTATGAAGAATTTTGTGAAGAATTTCTTTTCACCTTCTTAAAAATTATAATAATAGTATAAAAAAATTATATATGCATAAATTTTATTTTATTAATTAATAAAAAATATAAATAATTAATAAGTTAATTTTTTTTAAATAAATTAATAATATATATATATATGTATATATATACACTATATATTACTCTTTGTGAAGAATTTCTTTTCACCTTCTTAAAAATTATAATAATAACATAAAAAATTATATATGGATAAATTTTGTTTTATTAATTAAAAAAAAATATGAATAGTGAATAAGTTAATTTTTTTAATAAATTAATATATATATATTACTCTTTATGAAGAATTTTGTGAAGAATTTCTTTTCACCTTCTTAAAAATTATAATAATAGTTTTGTGATAAAAAATAATATATGCATAAATTTTATTTTATTAATTAATAAAAATATAAATAATTAATAAGTTAATTTTTTTAAATAAATTAATAATATATATATATATACACTATATATATTACTCTTTGTGAAGAATTTCTTTTCACCTTCTTAAAAATTATAATAATAACATAAAAATTATATATGGATAAATTTTGTTTTATTAATTAAAAAAATATGAATAGTGAATAAGTTAATTTTTTTTTTAATAAATTAATATATATATATTACTCTTTATGAAGAATTTTGTGAAGAATTTCTTTTCACCTTCTTAAAAATTATAATAATAGTATAAAAAAATATATGCATAAATTTTATTTTATTAATTAATAAAAATATAAATAATTAATAAGTTAATTTTTTTAAATAAATTAATAATATATATATATATGTATATATATACACTATATATTACTTTTGTGAAGAATTTCTTTTCACCTTCTTAAAAATTATAATAATAACATAAAAATTATATATGGATAAATTTTGTTTTATTAATTAAAAAAAAAATATGAATAGTGAATAAGTTAATTTTTTAATAAATTAATATATAATATATTAATCTTTAATAATAGTATAAAAGAATTTTGTTAATTTTTTTAAATAAATTAATAATATATATATATATGTATTTCTTTTCTTTGTGAAGAATTTCTTTCTTAAAAATTATAATAATAGTATAAAAAAATATATATATATTACATAAATTTTGTTTTATTAATTAATAAAAAAAAATATAAATAATTAATAAGTTAATTTTTTTTAAATAAATAAATTATATATATATATATATATACACTATATATTACTCTTTGTGAAGAATTTCTTTTCACCTTCTTAAAAATTATAATAATAACATAAAAAATTATATATGGATAAATTTTGTTTTATTAATTAAAAAAAAAATATGAATAGTGAATAAGTTAATTTTTTTTAATAAATTAATATATATATATTACTCTTTATGAAGAATTTTGTGAAGAATTTCTTTTCACCTTCTTAAAAATTATAATAATAGTATAAAAAAAATATATATGCATAAATTTTGTTTTATTAATTAATAAAAAATATAAATAATTAATAAGTTAATTTTTTTTAAATAAATTAATAATATATATATATATACACTATATATTACTCTTTGTGAAGAATTTCTTTTCACCTTCTTAAAAATTATAATAATAACATAAAAAATTATATATGGATAAATTTTGTTTTATTAATTAATAAAAAATATGAATAGTGAATAAGTTAATTTTTTTTAATAAATTAATATATATATATTACTCTTTATGAAGAATTTTGTGAAGAATTTCTTTTCACCTTCTTAAAAATTATAATAATAGTATAAAAAAAATATATATGCATAAATTTTGTTTTATTAATTAATAAAAAATATAAATAATTAATAAGTTAATTTTTTTTAAATAAATTAATAATATATATATATACACTATAAATTACTCTTTATGAAGAACTTTGTGAAGAATTTCTTTTCCCTTTCTTAAAAATTATAATAATAGTATAAAAAAATTATATATGCATAAATTTTGTTTTATTAATTAATACAAAATATAAATAATTAATAAGTTAATTTTTTTTAAATAAATTAATAATATATATATATATATATACACTATTATTACTCTTTGTGAAGAATTTCTTTTCACCTTCTTAAAAATTATATTAATAGTATAAAAAATTATATATGCATAAATTTTGTTTTATTAATTAATAAAATATATGAATAGTGAATAAGTTAATTTTTTTAAATAAATTAATTATATCTTACTCTTTTTCCATTTAATCAAGAAAAATAAGCTTACGAATTTCTTTTCCTTCAGTGGAGAAATGGTTAAAATGAAAGTTTTTTTTCTTCCGTGACTCGAAAATGACTCAGTTTTTACACAAATACTTACTTACTTTTTACTTTTTTTTTTGTAAAGTACACCTCATTGCTGCACCAAGAAGACGACATGCTACAGAGGTGAGATTTAAATATCGTTTATAAGACAACAAGTGATTGCATGAATTCGACGACGTTTGCAGCAGCATGGACTCTCAGCTCGGAGACCATGGCTGCGGCTACCCTTGACGTTGCATCACAGACAGGAGCGTCTTCAATGGCGTGATTAACGACGAACTTTGGCACAAGAATGGCGAGTCGTCATTTTCTCATATGAATCCAGGTTTTGTTTACAGCATCAAGATGGTCGCATCCGCGTTTGGCGGCATCGTGGTGAACGCACATTGGCAACGTGCATTCGTCATCGTCATACTGGCCCATCACCTGGCGCGATGGTATGGGGTGCTATTGGACACACGTCTCGGTCACCTTTTGTTCGCATTGACGGCATTTTGAACAGTGCATGTTACATTTCTGGTGTGTTACCCTGCGAAACCTTACATTTCAGCACGACCGATAACGCACGACCGCATGTTGCCGGTATTGTACAGACCTTCTTTAATACTCCGCGTCCGTAGCTTATCCTCAAGCTCCACGCACCTTATGGGTAGTGCTAAGGGAGTAACATCGGTGCAGCGCTTACCTTAAGGCAACAAAGATAACTGTCTAAGTGTTTGCCATCTGCATTAGAACAAAATAAAAGTTTCCTGGTAGAAAAACAATCTTAACTTTCATGTAACTTATCACAAAATATGCGAACATTTTCTTTGCCTACTCAGTTGACCCTGAAAAGAAATTTGTTGCTGTCAATAAATGAACATAACAGAATACCACAGAATCTGATACTTGAATATAACGAAATTCGCAATCGGCTGACAAGAAAAAAAAGTCGAACTTTTTTTAATTTCGCGTTGTACGGTTTTGAAATTTGTTAAATCTTTTGAAGACAAAATGAATCAAACAACAAATGAATTTGTTAAATCTTTTGAAGACTTCTACTCTCAGAGTGACCTGATAGCCAATAGTATAGACCACAAGCTCCAGAATTGATTCCTGGTGGTGGAATGAATGTTTGTTAATTGTTCGGAATCCACATTAAACTGTAGGTCTCGGTCTAATTAGGCTAAAGTGTGCACAAAATGACTGTACAGCGACAAAACAAACAAACAAATCTTCAACTTCTGCTCTCAGAGAGGCTAGATGGGTCGGAATCCACATTAAACTGTAGGTCTCGGTCTAATTAACCCAAAGTTTGCACAAAATGACAGTAGGGTTACAAACCAAATCTGCTCTCAAAAACTATAACAAACTCTTCAATCTTTGAACGTAAACATTTTTAGAAAAAAAAGTGTTATTAACAACAGGATTTTCCAACCATTCTCTAAAACGGGAATTCTATAGAAGGAAAAGGAATAGCACAGTATTTATCGGATTTCAAACCAGTCGATCCTCGTGATATTAAATGAAATTCCAGCATATCGAATAACTTCGAAATGTCTAGCTTCCAGGTTATCTTCTGCTACATTTTTCGCAACAAGCTTCAAAAGTTCTCGCATATGTAGAATTCATCGACAATTCATCTCTGCTGAATCTTGATTTTAAACATTCGACAGCTTTGTCATAATTTTAACTTGTCAGCGGATATTGCCATGGGCTCTGGACACTTCAGACATACATTGTGTATTAAAAGTACAGAAATTTCTCCTAGTTTGGGCTGTCGTTTTCACGTATTCTTTTAAATTCCAAAAATTCAATTTTCGTCAGTTTTAGTTCTTTTTTTATTTGACATGGGGAAGAGCCAATGAACTTTCATTTTCCATCTTCAATGGAATATATTGATGCACTAACATTCACTTTCACCATTTTTACGTTGTATTCGTCCATTCATTTCCCCCAATTCTCTATCCCTCTAATCTTTTTCCCAAAATTTTACATCTGTAGTTATCACTATGTTATGAAATTTTATCTGAATTTTGCTTCATACAGACGTTTTCCAAAGAAAACAATGTCAATTAATACCAAACATTGCAAATACTAGTAGTAGTTTTTCTCTTGCAAAATAATCTC